ACAAACAAAGGATAACTTTTTTTAGAAAAGTGAGAACATTTGCTTACAATGCAAAATCAGATTTCAGCTATAAAATAAAGCCTATTAAAAAACAAGACCAGCAACAACAAAAGCAAAACTTCTAAATACTTCTTCAGTAATCATAAAAGCTTATATTTATTTTTCAAAATTAAAATAGAAATACTTCTGGGGTTTGTTTTTTTTTTTCTCTAAAAAGGAAGACAAATAGCCTGGGAAGGTAAAAAAAAAAAAAAGTAAAAATAAATAAATAAATTAATTAATTAAAAAAAAAAGGAAGACAAATAAAGAGACTCAGATATCTGAGTGGACTATTAGTGGGTTACAAAGAAATTATAATTGGAGACAACAGTAAGAGGAATACAGATTATGTTTATTATCTCTTTCAATTGGTAAATAAGTGATAGACTACTTGGTATAGGTAAATTCAAAATGTTACATTCCCTTAGTTCCCAAATGATTACCCGCTTCTTTTTTTTTTTTTTAAGAAGTTATATGTTCTTTTTTTTTTTTAATTTTTTAATGTTTTATTTATTTCTAGGAGAGAGAGAGACAGCGTGAGCAGGGGAGGGTCAGAGAGAGAGGGAGTCACAGACTGAAACAGGCTCCAGGCTCTGAGCTGGCAGTTAGCACAGAGCCCGACACGGGGCTCGAACCCACAAACCGCGAGATCATGACCCAAGCGAAAGTCGGACGCTTAACCGACTAAGCCACCCAGGCGCCCCTACCTGATTCTTTTTTAAGTTTATTTATTTTGAGACAGAAAGAGAGCCCAAACAGGAGAGGGCAGAGAGAGAGGGGGAGAGAGAACCCCAAGCAGGATCTGCACTGTCAGCGCAGAGCCCAACTCAGGGTTCTGGCCCACAAACCATGAGCTCATGACCTGAGCCAAAATCAAGAATCAGATGCTTAACCCACTGAACCCACCCAGGTGCCCCAACCTACTATTGAAAATAGGTTCTAGGGCCCCTGTGTGGCTCAGTTAGTTAAGTGTCTCACTCTTAATCTCAGTTCAGGTCTTGATCTCATGGCTGTAAGTTCAAGCCCCAAGTTGGGCTCTGTGCTGGGCATGAAGCCTACTTAAAAAAAAAAAAAAAAAAAAATAGGTGCTTTTCTCTGTCTGTTCTGTTTGTAAGCAGGCTGTGTGCCAAGCATGGGGCTTGAACTCACAACCTAAGACCAGGAGTCACTTGCTCTACTGATTGAGCCAGCCAAGTGTCCCATCCCTCTTTGTTTGTTTTCAATTGCTTCTTTAAAAGTTAGGAAAAGTACATGGTTGTTGAAAAAATATTTTTAATATAAATGTACATGTAATAAAATGTGAACATCCTTCTCTCCCCTCACCTCATTTCTATTTTCACTTCTCAGTCCTGGCCTTGCTTTACAGATTTTGTATGGCTCTTTCCAGATTCTTTTCTGAGCAAATAAAATACAGTTTTTTATGTGAATATAAATCTATGCTTATTTTACATATTGTTCTACCACTTTTTTTTTTTTAATATGCCAAGTTCACACAGTTGGAAAGGCCTGGGGATTGAGATGTGACTCTTGGTCTGACTCTAGAACTTGTTTCCAATGCACAGCTGCCAAGAACACAGCGCCAATTTGGGAGACTGGTCTGGGGCTCCTGGGTGGCTCAGTTAAGCATCTGACTTCAGCTCAGGTCATGATCTCACAGTTTGTGAGTTCGAGCCACACATCAGGTGAGCTCTTGCCCCACTTCAGGTAAAAACACAAGCCCTGGGTGAGCCCTGCTTCTCTCTCTCTCTCTCTCCCTCTCTCTCTCTCTCTCTCTCTCTCTATCTCTGCCCTTTGTAGGATTCTCTCTTTCTCTTTCTCTGTCCCTTCCTCACTTGTGCACCGCCCCCCACCCCCGCAAAAAAAGACTGGTCTAGCAGTAGTGTATAGTTACATTACATCAGTTGAATTCTTGATTCAACCCAGACATTCTTTTTATGTTTTAATTTTTTTTTAGGGAGAAAGAGTGTGTGTGCATGTGCACACATGCACACGAGCAGGGGAGGGCAGAGAGAGACAGAGAGAGAGAATCCCAAGCAGGCTCTGAATTGTTAGTGTGGAGCCCCACTTGGAGCTCAACTCCCTGAACCATGAGATCATGACCTGAGCTGAAATCCAGAGTTGGACGTTCAACCGACTGAGCCACCCAGGTGCCCCTGAATCCAGACATTCTTGATTTGAGACTCATAAATATCTAACAAGCAGAAAATAAATTGTGGTACATCAACTAGATCTTATATCAATTATGAAAATTACAAAACCCATGTTCCAACATGGAAAAGTGACTGCGGTAAGATCTTAAAAGAAAAATGGTAACTTCTCATGTTATTTCTGAAAACAGAAGAATTCTGCACCAAACCTAAGTTGATATATTCACCTCCTATAAAAAAAAAAAACCACCACCTAGATTTAATGGAAATTTCCCCCTTTACAAAAAATACAAAGTCCTGTCTCTGAGGGTAGAAATAACTCTGAAGTCATTAAACAACTATTAATTATGATTTTCCTACAATGACAGGAAATTAGTATGGCTTGCATTGTGTCCTCCAAAAAAAGATGTTGACATTCAAACCCCCTGGGACCTACAAATGTGACCCAATTCACAAACAGGGTCTCTGCAGATGTAATCAGGTTAAGATGAGGTTATTAGGATGGCTCTTAACTCACTGTGACTGAATTTCTCAAAGGGGAAATCTGGGCACAGACACACGGAGGGAACATCATGTGAAGACACAGGCACTGAGGGAAGACTGTGCTGGGACAGAATTTTCCTGCCACAGCTCAAGGAACATCGGAGGTCATCAGGTGCTAGAAAAGGTGAGGAAGGCTTTAGACAGAACATGGCCAGTACCAGAACTGTAAGAATAAGTTGTTGTTTTAAGCCATTGAATTTGTGGTACTTTGTTATGGCAGTTTTAGGAAACTAAAATGGAAATCATTAAAGTTTTTTTAACTTTATTTATTATTTTGAGAGAGAGAGAGAATCCCATGCAGACTCCATGCTGTCAGTGCAGAGCCCAACTCGGGGCCCAAACTCACAAACCATGAGATCATGACCTGAGCTGAAATCAAGAGTCGGACACTTAACTGACTGAGACACCCAGGCGTCCCAAGAAATCACTGAAAATTTTTAAGGGGTGAGGGGGAGACTATTGTGTTGCTCCAGGCTCTGTGCTAGAGGTTTTACCTATCTATTTAATTCTAACAACTCTGAGAAGAAGGCATATTACAGCTAAGGAAAGTGCAGTTCAGAAGCTAAGTAGTACACTGAAGTGCCCTCTGTGGGAAAGGGCTGAGGCTAAGGCTCTGCTTCGAAAGCCCACAGTGTCTCCCTCGCATGCTTGCCAAGGACACAGCATTGGTCTGAGAAGACCGATTCGGCAGAATTTGCTCTCACTAATGTTAAACATCAGTTATAGTGCAACCTTTACCCAGGTGAACTAGATCTTCACGTTTCCCTGGAAGATATGTGAATAAACAATCCCATCTGTTTACTTACAGATGTTTTTACTGAATGAGAGAAGGAAAACATGGTATGTGTGCAAGGGTGGATGATTCTTTCTTCAGGAAATACCAGTCACAGACAATATCTTAGTATCTAATTTGCTTTTTGGTTTTAAAAGGTTTCCTTCAGGGGCACCTGGGTGGCTCAGTCGGTTAAGCATTGGACTTCAGCTCTGGTCACGATCTCGTGGTTTGTGAGTTTGAGCTCTGATTCAGACTGTCTGCTATCAGCACAGATCCCACTTCAGATCCTCTATCTGCCTCTCTCTCTGCCTCTTCCCCACCCTGTCCCTCCCCGCCAAATAAAAATAATAAGTAAAAATAATAATAAGGGGCATCTGGCTGGCTCAGTCAGTTAAGTATCCAACTTGGGCTCAGGTCATGATCTCAAAGTACATAGGTTGAAGCCCTGTGTGGAGCTCTGTGCTGACAGCTCAGAGCCTGGAGCTTGCTTTGGATTCTGTATCTCCCTCTCTCTGCCCCTCCCTCACTTGCATTCTGTCTCTCAAAAATAAATGTTAAAAAACGGATTTTAAATAATAAAATTAAAAAGTAATAAAAATAAAAGGTCTCCTTCAACCTTCATATTCTCCTGAGGCTTCAATGACTACTAGCTGCTAAACGATAAAGCTGGTTCCCAGGGTTTCCAGCACCGTGTTAGTTATAAGGTCCATATGGTGTGTAGATAAGAATTTAAATTCAAACTCTAGGGCCAGAATGGCTGGGTTCTAATGTGCACAGAGACACATGCTGAGTAGGTGGACAGTGGGCTAGATTCAGGCTCCACACACCCCTTCAACTAGCATCCTTGTGCAGAGTGTAACCTGTCCAACCTTGCAAGGCATCCATGCAAGTAGGTTTCCACCTCCCCCTAGCCGTGGGTGGTAGTGTTCTCCATGTCACACTATCTGCCTAAAACATCATATAGTAAAAAGGAAGCTGGGGGGCAAGGGAGTGGTCCCTGGCTGACTTGGTAGAGCATGCAACTCTTGATCTCAGGGTTGTGAGTTCAATCCCCATATTAGACATGGAGCCTACTTAAAAGAAAAAAAAAAGAAAGAACGAAAAGAAGAAGAAATGGCAAACTGATCTGTGAGATCAAAACCATTCAGTACATTTGATACTCGTGATATTGCCAAAGAAATCATGCATCCCTCCATCCAAAAAGAGAAAAGTAGAAACCACAGGTATTACTCAAGTATGGGGATCATAGTTTTCCTCCTGTGGGATCACTTTGGGAGAAAAGAAAGGACCACAGCAGTGTGGTCCTGGGATTTAGTCTGTGTAGCCCTTACACGCTCATCCAATTCCGCTCAGCAAGCAGGATCGGAACGTGACACCTGGCTCTAGTACGGGATCTGCGTCTCTGGGAGTACTAATTAGCAGCTCGTAGAGAAGAAGCCATTCTCTGGTGCCCCATTAATTACAGTGCTCCTGGCAACTCAGACGGGCCCACATGAATGCGTCTTGCACAAAAAGGTCACATCCTGGTGTTGCTAGTGAGATCTGTGCGGGATCTTATTGCTGTTCATGGTTATTTCCCTGATAATCGCTCCCTAGAGGTCGGACTGGCTACGACCTAGAATATTTGAGCACAGTAATTTGCAAGATTTATGGAAAACAATTTTTCAGAAATGTGCTCTCAATTTTCATTGGGCAAATTCCTCTTTCTCTGGTAAGTGCTGGAGCATATGGAGCAGGTAAATGTTTTAATGGACAGCATAAAAGTAACATTTTTCTTCTGAAGCTGATGATTTGCACTTAGGGCTTCCAATCCCATTTTTTCCTATAGCAAGTGTTCAGAACAAATTAAAGGATGAGGGAAAACTACAATCTTTCCAGCCTTGCTCTCTCCAAGCTCGGTAATGACTGCATCATTTCACAGGCTCCTATCACCTCCTCTGGTGCTCCCATCCTTGGGAAGGAAGCTTTTATTGAATTTCTCTCCCCCAGGTTTTAGTCTTCCACCTGTCTCTTGTGTTATATACATTGAACCCATTCCTTTCTAAACACAATTTAACGCAATAAGATGAAAATGGCCAAGGGCAGTCTCTCTAGTCTCTGGGAGGAAAGATTCAGAGTAGAAACAAACACCTAATGAAAAGTTAGGGGGGAAAATACGGTGCAGGCAAATATTACCCATGTGGGTATGTACAGCACCTGGGTACTCTTCAGAATCACAACAATTGCAACCATTATTAATTCTTTTCCTTTTATGACATGAACAAACAATAACAGAGGTCTTAGAACCGGCCGTCTAGCCATCTGAAGTAAAATAACAGCAATACAATTTATTCACTTGTTCAGTTACATCCATTCATGAAGCATCTGCTATGTTTGACACATCAATTTTTTATATCCTCAGTGTAATCACCTATATTATTCTCATACGTGCATCAGGAGGCCTTCCTCCAGTTTCCTTTCACAACTTCTGTTTATCTCTAGCAATGTATTTATCACTTTATATGGTAATTACCTGCTAATATGTTCGTTCTCCAAGTTGACGGTGGACTGGGTATTTGGTGGACGTAGTGACACATCTTAATCTCCTTTGAATACTCAGCACCTGGACCAGATGTGAATGAATGACATGTGTTCAATAAAATCATGAGACCTCACATGATTGTAAAATAAGCCCTATTCTCCTAAGGCCAACTCTGAGAGTCAACAGGGAAGACCGGATACTTCAAAGGAATTATGAAGTCAAAGGAATAAGCTCTTTTTCTAAAAGTTAAATATTAGCAGCCTCTTTAAAAGCAGCTATTAGATTTTTTTTCAAGCACCAGAAGGACTTGTAGAGATCATCTGGCAGACTCCACTCCTTTCTCTGTCCTCTTCTATATGTAGAAAAATGGAGGGGTGTCTGGGTGGCTCAGTCAGTTAAGCGTCTGACTTTGGCTCAGGTCATGATCTTGCGGTTCATGGGTTCACGCCCCACATTGGGCTCTGTGCTGACAGCTCAGAGCCTGGAACCTGCTTCAGATTCTGTGTCTCCGTCTCTCTCTGCCCTTCCCCTACTTACACACACACTCTCTCTCTCTCAAAAATAAATAAACATTTTTTAAAAATTCATATGTAGAAAAATGGAGATTATGAAATCTGCTTAAACCCATACAACTTGTTGGCGAATGAGGCATAGAGTCTGGGTCATTGGATGCCCTAGTCCATGTACATTGAAAGGCAAAGCCAACCAACTCAAGACAGACCCTTCAAGCACTAGCTTCTGTTTTTATAAATGCAACTCTGCTCTAAAATGTAAATCAGAGAAGAAATATCCCATGCATCTTGTTCTGCTGCCCTTCTCGTAGTTGGTAATTTATGTGACTTCTTTACATCTGCTGCAGGATCTTCGCACCATTCCCCATCCATACGTCACACCCTCTGGGACACCTCTCCTTATTATTCTCTCACCCCTCCCCTAGGCCACTCAGATTCTCCTTTATACACCAGCAGAGCACCCTGTACTTCCCACTCACTGGATTTATCTCAGTTTGAAGTTACATATTGTGCTGTTGTTTAAGTAACATCTGTGAGGTGTCTCCTCCAGATTAAATTAAGAGGTCATAAATTATATCTCTGGGGATAAGAGACATTCTGGTAGCATATCCTAACCCAACGTTTCTTCTACATACCCAACCTGGGAGGAGAAATGGGATCGGTATAATATCAAAATTATTTCTTTGAATCTACCCCACTTGCTGGGGTGGGTCCTTCAAAGTCAGTTCAAGACATGGGCCCCTTCAGGGCTCTAGGGATTCCAGGGTGTGTCTCCCATGTACCTACCCTTGAGGCTCCTCACCTCTCCTTAGACATCTCAAGCTCTTCCTGTTGGGTGCTGGCTTGTGGCAGCTGAGGCCTCCACATTCTACAGATCCGCCTTGGTGGTGTTATGTATAATATGTGAGTCCCAATCAAAGGGATTTTAGTCAGACCATCCTTTCCATTTCTACTCCCAGCCTTTGCCCCCTGTGGCTCAAGACCAGAGTGCTTGGGGCTTGGCAAGAAGACAAACATCTCTCCTCTCTGATCTGGAAGCAAAGGATTAGATCACACTGGTGTGCCTTGACTCTAACCTGAGGACAAATTCTTTGCCAGAATCCTCCTTGGCGGTTCATATAAATAGTCCCCTGCGGGGCCTACCCGATGGGCCCTCCATTTACTCCAGGCCTGTGTGCATTTCAGAGGAACAGAACTAAGTGTCAAGTTTGGACCCCTGCTCAATTCAGAGGAAGCAGTAGAATGTCAGTGCCCGTGGTAAGCAAATAGCAAGCTAAGACCTTGTCCTGGCTCAGAGGGGAAGAGAACCTTCTCCTGCACCCAATTCATTTGGCAGCTGTACTTAGGAGCAAGATTTTCTGGGAATAACCCATGCACAGCCACTGAAAATTCCAGCCAAAGACACTTCATGACTTGCAAATCTTAGCAAAGTCGTTAGGAATATGGCCCTGTGATTTCCTGGAACAGAGGCAGAGATGGAGTGGAAGCCATCAGCTGAGGACTCAGACATGATTGGTTTGAATCTTGGCCCCAACTCTCTCTGGATACGTGAGCTTGAGCAATCTCCTCAGCCTTTGTGAACCACAGTTTCCTCATCCATACACCAGCACAGACTCTCTCTCTTAGGATTGTTATGAAAATTACACAAAAGCAGGATGGGAAATCATGCGGCATAGGGCTTGGGAGATAACAGATACTGGAAAACCATTCATTCCCCTTCCTATAACTTTTTTATCTGCTTTGATTTTTACAATCGTTCCTTCGCCATTGGCTTTGGTTTAAAATTTTTCCATAAAAATGTTAGAAATATATATTTCATTAAGCACTAGCTAAACATTCTACTGTGCTCCTAGAGTTTATTATTGCATCATTAAATATAAAAAAGTACACTCATTATTAATTAGTTAGTCCCTGGATTAACTCTTTCTGAGGAGGCTGGGGGAGGAGGGTGTGACACCATTTTCCCCAACTCTGAAAATGGCTCCCAATTCAACAAACTTATCTTTGGTGAAAGAATGAGAAACTAATATTTATCTATTACCTATTATGTGCCAGTGTGACAGTAGTGCTTGGCAGCTAATTGCTTGGACTTTGGAACCACAATGGTTGTGTTTAAATCCAGACTCTACCACTTAACTAGCTGTGTGATCTTGGGCAGGTAACAAGTTCTTTGTGCCTACCTGAGTTTTTAATCCACAAAATTGTAGGTAATTGTACCTACATACCCCCAGGATGTTTGCGACAATTAAATGTAATAATTAGAACAATGTGTGGCACATAATAAATGCTCAATAAATTGTAGCTATTATTACTTTTCTGGGTTTTTTTAATTTTTTAAAAATTAAATTTCTCTTTCTGAGAAAGAGAGAGAGACAGAATGGGGGTCAGAGAGGGGCACAGAGAGATGGAGACACAGGATCTGAAGCAGACTGATAGCACCGAGCCTGATGTGGAGCTCAAACTCACGAGCCATGAGATTATGACCTGAGTGGAAGTCAGATGCTTCACTAACCGACCGAGCCACCCAGGGGCTCCACTCTTCTGTGTTTTATGTACAGCTTGATATTCACAGCAGCCCTTCAATGGCTATGTTTTTCTCTCTAATCTCCCCTGAATGAGCAAGGGCGACTAGAGTCCCACAATCCCAGAATCCACAGCTAGCACACAGCCCTTTAGCGCTCCTGCCCAACATTTTATGAGCCCAAAGCCCTGACCTTCCTCTACATCCTGACACCTTCCAGGTGGTTACAACTGCTTCCCTTGAAGTATTAAAACAATAACCAAAACACCACTTACGAGATGGATATCGCATATGTTCTAAAGCATGGGTGACATAAAACGTGTTCCCCTATTTGGGGGGAGTTTTGGAGCTACTTTTGTTCCAGATTAAATTATGGCCACATTCATAGCGAGTGACCCCAGAAGCCACCTGGCAGCCAGAAGGCAGCATTTCAAACTAAAGCTATGTAACTGCTTCAATAAGCAAAAAGGGAAAACGCACTCTTATTTATTGAGTGCAAGTAGGTTGTGCTAAGCATTTTACATGTGTTGTTTAATTCTCTCGGCAAGGTAGGTACTATTTCCCCTATTTTCTAGTTGGGGGAATTAAAGCTCAGACAGGTTATGTGACTTCTCCAAAGGTCAGACGACCAGCAAATGTCAGAGGCAGCTTAACGACACAGGTCTACCTGTCTCCAGTGCCTTAGAAATAAACCATCACCGTGAGTACTTGGCACCTCTTTATGACACCCTCGCAAACCCCTTACTTAAATACTGTACTATCTAAAGCTTCTCCGATGTTTGCTGTGGGCCAGACTCCGTCCTGAGCACTTACGTGCAGTACTTCATCTAATTGTCACCACAGTCCTAGGAGGTTGGTACTACTATTATCCCAGTTGACAGAAGAGGAAACAGGCCTTGTGGAGTTAACAGTTTGTTTCATGTCACATATCCTGGAGGTGGGGCCAGATGATTTCAGCGTTTGTGATCTTAAGCACTAGCCCAGGCTTTCTCCCATACAAAGAGGTTATGAGCGTGGAAAATAAACCCAGTATTCTTTCAATAG